CCCTACCATTCCCTGAGTAATGTCTTCCCTACCATTCCCTGAGTAATGTCTTCCCTACCATTCCCTGAGTAATGTCTTCCCTACCATTCCCTGAGTAATGTCTTCCCTACCATTCCCTGGGTAATGTCTTCCCTACCATTCCCGGGTAATGTCTTCCCTACCATTCCCGGGTAATGTCTTCCCTACCATTCCCTGGAGAATGTCTTCCCTACCATTTCTGGGTAAGGTCCTACCCAGCTGGCATTCACACACTTAAGGGCAAAACTATTGCCTTTAGTGTTCACTAAAGCATCCCAAGTACCTAAAAGTACCTAATACATAGGAGTGGCTCAACAAATATTTGTGGTTAAATGTATGAATCTTGTTTACTTATCCATCATTTATTTCTCTTCTGTTAGAATGCAAGATACGTGAAGGTAGGGTCCTTTATGGTCTTGTTTAATGTTGCTTCCAAAACACTCAGAACAGCATGTGGCATGTGGGGAATGCTTACAAGTTCTTGCGGAAGACATATGTGCATAGCTACAATGAAACGTTTATTGTATCAGCTTAAGCTATACAGAGTTAACGAAGACAGGTAGCGCACTGACCATTCATCACTCACAGCCAGCTATCTATCGTGGGTAAAGAGTGTTATACAATAAATCAAAGAATGAACTGTTCATATAAATAGAACTTTATGGGAAGCAGTGTGTAGGGGTATGGTTGCCCCAAAGTTATAATCATGTGGGGAACTGGAATACACTTAGTATATACCACTATTTTTTTCTGCAGTTTGCCCTGTCTATACAAACGCTTCTGCTTAACTTCCTCAGGAAAAAAAGCAACAGCTTTGCTGGTTATTTGCAAAACTGCTTATCCTGGGGGGCTTTCTTTTTTTTGTTTACAAAAATGAGAAAAAAAAAGACACTTCAGTGTATAGGAGCACTTTGTATTCTTGAAAGCGATTCGCGCTGCCATTGACTTACATAATCTATTTTGTTTTTCATCTGTATCGAAGGGCCTTCATATCTGTATATTTCTGTGTGCAAACGTACGGGATCCAAAACTATTCTCCGTGATTGTTTGGATTGTTAATCTCTCCAGGGTTTCCTCAACATTCTCAAAGGCCGTTTCTGGCACCAAAGGGAAAATGGAGAGTTGAGACGCAATTTTATCTCCCAATTGAACTTGATTAAATGGGGACTGTTCTAATCAAAAGTTCCAATCCTAGGGGAGTGCAGTGTTGTTAACGGGTTTGAGAATATTCGAGAAGAACAGGGAAGAAGAGTACTAAAGTTACGGCAGAGAAGGAAGCAGGCAAGAAAATAATTGTAGTAAAGCTTATTAAGGCATAAAATTAGGTGAACAAATTGCTTCACAGACAGTGTTAAGCTTATTGCTAGACTAGCAAAGGAAGTGGAAGAAAGCTCTTTGAAAACATTATTTTTATTATTTTAATAATTTGTGTAGGATTCATAGTAGCTGCAATCTGTTAGCCAGAAACAATCGCCAGCTGGTGTCATTGCGGAGTAACTGTAGCAGGCTGAATGCAAACATGTTTTTCCTCTTACCTGGAGAGCATTCAATTTTACAAAGTTTCTATTCGTTTCCCCCTGGATGTGAGGTCTGCCCTTGCAGATAAGGAACCCTGTTTATTGCGTGATTCAAGAGCTTCGATTAGGTTCACACCAAGTTCCACGACTCTAATAGGGAGGCCACACCTGGGACAGACAGTGTTTACACAACCAAAGTTACCTCTCATTAAAAATGAATACTTGGGTACATGCTTGAATTGTCTGTGTAATTGCTTGAGTCTATGCATTGCTTTCCTTGTGGTTAACTCGAGGAAATGGTGGCACTCCATTAGTTATTTTACTGAAAGCAAAAACAGATTTCTGGGATAATGTACTCTGAAAAGGGTTAAAGTGCACTTATTTATGGAAATATACATTTTGTTAGTAACATAACTGTGACATTTTTGTTATATGTTCTGAAATTCTCCTAAAAATGTCTTTTAACAATGACATAACCATGTAAAGAGTGTTATTGTCCTTTTCCCTGTTGATCTGGAAACTAACGGAGCAGGTGCCCAAAACTGCAGGACACAGAGATCACTCAGCTCTGTCTATAAAGCCAGAGGGAGAGGGAAAATAATTTAATTGTTCTATTGCACTTCTGTTGCCTCTTCCTGCTTCTTGACTCAAAGGGTCTCAAGAGGGGAGGAAATTATGGGCTCTTTTGTTGATGTTCATTGGGTTTCTTCAATGGCGAATTGAACGTATTTCAGGGATGTTAGTGTTTGCTAATCTTGGCTTTGCTTCCTCCTGGTTTTCTTTGGTTCTGTCTCCTCATCTCTGAAGTGGGATATTATACTTCTCTTCTCTTCCTAGAATGGCGTTCTGAGGAGCACATGAGATGATACCTAGAAAGTGCTTTCCATTATACAAATTGCCGAGGCACTGAAGTTATATATTTGGGTAGCTGACAAGGTTATACTTATCCATGTGATAGCAAATGATTTTTTATAGAAAATGAGAAAGTTCTCAAGTAAAGTAACACAAAAAAGTATAATGAATTTTTACTTTGGTAAAGCAAAGGTGTATATTTTTGAATAAGTAATACCATTAACCAGATGCATTCAGGAAGTAATTGCTGAATTTCATTGTTTCCTTTGTCTTATGATTTCTTGCTTTGCAGAGTAGTGTGATGCCATTAATAGGATTTTAAACTTTAAGTGAGAGAAAAATAAATAGAATTAGGTAAGCTTTAAAGAAGCTGATTCATCTTACCCAACACCTTTTTTTTCTCTTTTCTTTTTTTTTTTTTTACTAATGTAGGCTCATACAGTATCAGGAAGGGCACTGTGTGTGGTTGTTTATAGAGTTGAAAAGAGGAAAGGAAGCAGAGGCGGGAAGCTTTGTTGACAAAAATCCCACCTGTCTAGAACAATAAAAATAACTTTCAATTAGCATCCCTGAAAGAGATCTGGATCTTAACTGATGGCTGTGAAGGGGGCAGTCTGACAAATGGAAGAGATAGTAGAGTGTCTCAAGAGAAGACAAGCCTGGGTGCTTCAGTGCGTTGAGCACCCGACTTGGGTTCAGGTCACGGTTCATGGTTCGTGGGTTCGATCCCGCGCCGGGCTCTGTGCTGACAGCTCAGAGCCTGGATCCTGCTTCGGGTTCTGTGTCTCCCTCTCTCTCTGACCCTCCCTTGCTTACTCTCTCTCTCTCTCTCTCAGAAATAAATTTTAAAAAAGCATTAAAAGAGAGAGAAGACAAGTACACACCCATCCACAAAGGGGCCAAGTGAGAAGGTTGACCGCTAAAAAGACAGGAGATGCCAGGTGTACTACCTGTAAGGTAGCCAGGAGGGACATGATGACCCGGACAAGGGAATCACACTGTATTGTTTCCCTCTTCAGCACACGGTCCCTCTCCACACGGGTCAAGCGAGTGTAGGGACTGTGGGTGGGTAGTTAGTCCCATTTGATGGTACATCCATTCACTGTTATTAAACAAAGATGTGGTTCTCAGGTAAATGCAAAATTCGCATGTTTGAAAAGTAAAGCTAAAAAAATCGGCACGTAAACCAGCGCTTACTTAGCTTATGAAATAGAGGTGAGTGTCGGTCTCATCATCTGCATTGGGGGTTAGGGGTGAGTCTCGCACATTTAGGAACTCAATGCGTAATAGCAGCATGGATTTTAGGACGTGACCCCTAAGCTCTTCTAAGTGCTGCACGGTGTGGGCTGGTTGGTCTGGTGCTGGAGGGAATGAAGTGTGTATTCAACAAAGAGCCCGTGATAGACAGCAGGTGCCTAATGGATAATTGATAAATGGACGCGGGTTGCATAAAATTGTAGAGTTGGACACACCAAGTTCGCAGTTAAGGAGGGACCGGAATAAAACTTGAGCACCAGTGAGAATGTCTTGGGTAGAAACCGAAAGCAGCCTGGAGCCGCTTTCCCCAGCCAGCTCGCGTGCCGTCCTGCCCAGGTGAGTCCGCCCAGCGGCGACGAGTGTGATTCCTGCACACAGGCCGGCCAGATTTGCGTCCGTCCCCAGGAAGAGAAAGCTGCGGATTTAGAGGTCTCGGATCCGTGCCGGCGGCTCTGCTGCGGGCCTCCCTCCCCAATACCTCTTCGCCGCAGGCTGGAGGGATTCCCGCCCCCAGCTGCCTCCTCCGAGGCCCGCGGAGCAGCGGACTCCTCCCCTGGAAACTCCTCCGGGGCTGGGGAAGGCTTTGGCGCATGCTCCGTACCTCGGGCAGGTTTTTGCTGCGGGTAGCAGGGCTCCCGTCACACCGGCTGGCGGGTTGTGGCGGTGCCAGCCGGTGTGTGCGAGTGTGCCTGCGTGCCCGCGCCTGGGCGGACCGACCCGGACAGCAGCGCGACTCTTCCCGGAGAGGCGGCTCCGCACCGGCGCCGCGCCCGCAGCCGCCGCGGGGGCTCCGCCGCAAACTTGCGGCGCCCGCCGTCTGCCCTCGCGGCTCCGCGGCCCGCGCCCCGCGCCCCGCGGGCAGAGGCCGGCCGGGGGGCGGCGGGGCCGGGCCGCGCCTTCGCGCTGCGCCCGCGCCCCGGCGAGCCTCATGCGGCCCCCGCGCCCGGCGGCCCCCGGCAGGTGCAGGACCCGAGGCGCGCTCCCCGCAGCGCCTGAGCGCCCGAGCGCCGGCGGCGGGACGCCCCGCGTGGCCTGAGAGCGCGCGCCGCGCCCGGGCGGGAGCGGGGAGCGGGGAGCCGGGAGCGGGCCGAGCCGGGCGCCCCCGGGAGCGGGGGGCGCCCCACGCCGCAGCCGCAGCCGCCCGCGCCGGCGCGCGCCTCCCGGCTGGGCTCGCAGGCCCGGGCGCTGCCAGCGCCGGGGAGCCGCGGGGCCGCCCGCCCGCCGCCCGCCTCGGCGCCAGGGGCATGGAGGAGCGGCGCACTCGCAGCCGCGCCCCGGAGTCCCCGAAACTTCCGCGCGCGCGCCGGGCCGCGCCGCTGCCGCCGCCGCCTCGCCTGCCGGCCTGAGAGCGGGACCATGGATGAAAGGTTCAACAGGTGGCTGCTGACGCCGGTGCTCACTCTCGTCTTCGTGGTCATCATGTACCAGTACGTGTCCCCGTCCTGCAGCAGCTCCTGCGCCAACTTCGGGGAGCAGCCCCGCGCGGGGGACGCCGCCCAGCCGGCCGCCCCGAGTCCCGCGCGCCGGGCACAGGCGCCGCCCGCGGACCGCGAGCGGCGGCCGCAGCTGTCCCCGCCGCCCCGGGGGCCGCCCGAGGGCCCGGGAGGGGCCGCGGCGCCGGAGGACGACGACGACGAGCTCGGGGAGCCGGAGGGGGAGGAGGAGGAGGAGGAGGAGGAGGAGGAGCCGGACCCCGAGGCCCCCGAGAACGGCTCCCTGCCCCGGGTCGTGCCGCGCTTTAACTTCACCCTGAAGGACCTGACCCGCTTCGTGGATTTCAACATCAAGGGGCGCGACGTGATTGTGTTCTTGCACATCCAGAAGACCGGGGGCACCACGTTCGGCAGGCACCTGGTGAAGAACATCCGGCTGGAGCAGCCGTGTAGCTGCAAAGCGGGCCAGAAGAAGTGCACCTGCCACCGGCCGGGCAAGAAGGAGACGTGGCTGTTCTCCCGCTTCTCCACCGGCTGGAGCTGCGGGCTGCACGCCGACTGGACGGAGCTCACCAACTGCGTGCCGGCCATCATGGAGAAGAAGGACTGTCCCCGCAACCACAGCCACAGCAGGTACCGCCTCGGCCCCTTTCGCTTCCCGCCCCCTCCCCGCGGCGAGGACCCTGCGCTGCCCGAGCGCGCGGGTCGTTCCCCAGCGTCTTCCCGCGGTTGGGGCAGAGGCTTGGGGAGTGGGTTGAGAAACCTCTGGATAGCGCCCTGGTCGTGAACTCCTCTCCCTCCCTGGCCCTCCCCCCCCCCCCCCGGCTTTCTGCCACCTCCTTTCATCTCAAAGGTGTCTTAGTGTATGTTCTTCCTTGTGCCTAGGACGCTGTGGCCTCCCACCCACCGTGGAATGGAGNCCCCCCCCCCCCCCCCCGGGCTTTCTGCCACCTCCTTTCATCTCAAAGGTGTCTTAGTGTATGTTCTTCCTTGTGCCTAGGACGCTGTGGCCTCCCACCCACCGTGGAATGGAGAGGAGGCCTGGGTGGGATCTTGTACCTAAGTTGTGCGAGTGGAAACCCAGACCCGGTGAAAGGCAGGAAGATCTGGGCGCGGGTAGGCGGGGCAGGGGGTTCAGAGCCACGCTCGAGCCAGAGACCAGCCGAATCCCTCTGGAAGTGGCTCTTGGGTGGCTCCTCTCCAGCTCGGGGAACAGTCCTGACGTGTCTTTGAAGATACACTTTCAGATTCCTGCTGCGCCTCGATCACCCTAATTCTGGAGATGGTCTTTGTTGCTGAGCAATGCCAGATTTGGACTCCTGCTGTTCTCAGCGAGATCTCCACTCTCCCCCGGGCCAATCCATCACCTCATTCCAGAGGTATTAGTTAGATGCCTACTGTGTGCCTGGCAACGTGCTCGGTGCTAAATGAATACAGAGATATAAGTCAAATCCCTTCCTTTCAAGATAGACGGTTTTTTTTTCTCTGCCCCACACCCCCGTCTTTTAGGTAGTAATACTGCTGAGAATTAGGAAAGTTTGAAATCTTAATAGCCAATGAAACTGCTTACATTATTAACATCCTTTGAGAGAGGCATGGGTTTAAGAATTTGGTTGAATGTTCTTTCTGCCCATTGCAATTAGAAGATTAATCTGACATGCTTGCTCAAGGGACTAAAATATTAAAAGCTTGGAACACTAGTTTATTGAAGTTTTTATCTCAAAGGTTTCAAACAATTTGGTGTAAGGAAATAGGAATTTAAAAACTCAAGCTCAATATGTTGATATCAGATAGCTTTTGCATTTGACATTATGGAAGAACTTCATTTCCTGGAAGCTACCCAGATTCTGAAATTCACTACCACTGAAGCATCTAATTCTACTTCATTTCTCCAAGAATGAGCACAATTTCATTATGGGATTTTTTACTCTGGCAGTTTTTCAAATACTTTCTCTCCTCCCTGCTCCTTTCCTTGTTTAATGGAAATTGGTTAGAATAGGAAACTAGTTGGAGTTGGTATGAAGGCTCCTTCCTTAGCATATTTTAAGGACCTTTTACTTTAAAAAATTTCTAATTGTGTAGTATTTTAGATCCTAGCTCCTCTGTTTGAGCTCAAAACAGCTTTTTAATTAATTATGACTTTCAGACTTCCTGGGAGACAAGACTACTATTTCAATGAGAGACGAATTTTGCTACATTTTAGCCAAAGTTGTACTTTTTGTATTGAGACATTTATGTATTAATTCCTGAATGACCCCAAGGAGTTTGCTAGTCTGATTTTCAGCTTCCATGTCGGTGAAACTAGACACGTTGATTATCACACAGGGGCACCTAAAGAATCTTCCATAGGGACCGGCAGTCTGTTTGACCAGTATGTGTAAAAGTCTCAGTGAATAGACGAAGAGTTTGGGAGGAATTAGAGATTATGGAAACTAAAAATAACCGGATTTTTGCTTAGTGATGAAGTGCTGCTGCTACTATAGACCCTACCTGCATTACAGTGCTATAGACCTTACCTGGATTACAGTACTGAGGTCTCACCTCTATAGGAAATCCTCAGTATCTCTCTACTCTGGGATGTAGGAAAATTCCACCTTGGCTATTTGAACATATGGTTTCTGTTGCACAAGTGATTCTTTTTCCTTAGTGATGGACCATGAACATTTATTTCTCTCTGAATCACAAGTTGTCAGATAACCACCCTGCACTGTTTTGTTTTTTTTTAATTTAAACTTTTCATGGTAGGTTTTTTTCCCTCCAGTACCACTCTTTGTAATCCTTTTACTTTTCTTCTCCTTGCTCTCTCCCTGGTATGCTAAGTTACTTTTTTGTTCTAGATGTTGTAGGAAGGAGTGGTTGTGGTTTATGTGAGGTGCCCCCCCCCCCCATGGAAAGTTATAGGGATAAAGTTGAAGGGATGTCCACTAACATCTTCCTCACCGAGAAGATTGAATTAGTAGTCTGTCACTGGAATGCCTGTGTACAGCATTCTACAGTCAACTAGATTAGCCTGGATAATGGAGGGTACATTTCCACAATGCAAAATGGCAGATAATCTATTGCTACATAATGGGAACAAGGTTCTTTAAATAGGGCTGACTCTAAGCAAAATCGAGAAGTAGGTGGTGTTTTAGTTCCTTAGTCTCTTTGCTTTTGGTCTCCCTGAAAGTCCCCCTCCCCATTTCTCACAGGGGTTAGTGTCTTTGTAAGTCATGTAGTGAATAAGAGCAAGAGCTCTGGATTCAGATGGATATGTCTCTTTTACGTAACCAAGAGTGGCTCTTACTTCCTAGTAGGCAGGTGTAAGTTACTCTTTCTGAGCCTCAGAATCTTCATCTTTAACGCATAGGTAGTAATTAGTACTCTCTTAGAGAGGTGTTATGAGAAATGAAGGAGCGAATGTATGCAAAATACTTAGCACAGTATCTGTGCTGGTATATTAGTACTTGATGTGCAGATATATAGTCATACTTAACATTAGTTGTTAATTGCAATAACAGTATTTCCTGAATCAAGGTCTTCTTTTATGAAAGGATCTGAGGTGAATTCCTTAGAGCAGCTCATTGTAAAATGGGTCACCTTATTTTAAAGAGATGCCAGTTTTAAATTTAAATTTAAATTGTAATTAATTAATTAGTTTAAATATAATTTATTGCCAAGTTGGCTAACATACAGTGCATACAGTGTGCTCTTGGTTTTTTTTTTTTTTAATTTTTTAAATTTATTTCTAGGAGTGAGAGAGAGAGAGACAGCGTGAGCTGTCTGACCCCCCAGGGGAGGGTCAGAGAGAGACGGAGTCACAGACTGAAACAGGCTCCAGGCTCTGAGCTGGCAGTCAGCACAGAGCCCGACGCGGGGCTCAAACCCACGAACTGCGAGATCATGACCTAAGTGAAAGTCGGACGGTTAACCGACTAAGCCACCCAGGCACCCCTGTGTGCTCTTGGTTTTAAAGTAGATTCCTGTGATTCATTGCTTACATAAAACACGCAGTGCTCATCCCAGCAAATCTCCTCCTCAATGCCCATCACCCATTTTCTTCTCTCCTCCCCCTCTCCCCCTATCAACCCTCAGTTTGTTCTCTGTATTTAAGAGTCTCTTATGGTTTGCATCCCTCCCTCTCTGTTTGTAACTATCTTTTTCCCCTTCCCTTCTCTCATGATCTTCTGTTAGGTTTCTCAAGATCCACATATGAGTGATAACATGTGATATCCTTCTGTGCCTGACTTATTTCACTTAGCATAATACCCTTCAATTCCATCCGCATTGCTGCAAATGGCAGGATTTCATTTTTTTCTCATTGCCAAGTAGTATTCCATTGTATATATATAAACCACATCTTCTTTGTCCATTTATTGATTGATGGACATTTAGGCTTTTTCCATAATTTGACTATTGTTAATAGTGCTGCTGTAAACATTGGGGTACATGTGCCCTGATGCATCAGCACCACTATATCCCTTGGGTAATTCCTAGTAGTGCTATTGCCGGGTCGTAGGGTAGTTCTATTTTTAATTTTTTTGAGGAACCTCCACACTTTTCCAGAGAGGCTGCACCAGTTTGCATACCCACCAGCAGTGCAAGAGGGTTCTCGTTTCTCCACATCCTTGCCAGCATCTGTTGTTTCCCGAGTTGTTAATTTTAGCCACTCTGACCGGTGTGAGGTGGTATCTGAGTGTGGTTTTGATTTGTATTTCCCTGGTGATGAGTGATGTTGAGCATCTTTTCATGTGTCTGTGATTATTTGTGTTGAGACAGAATCCTAAATTCCAAACTTAAATAAATGGAAAATTATGGACATTTGGGCATCAACTGGTGGAAAGCACACAATACACTTGGGTATATATTCTGTTGGTGACAAAAAGGAAACCTGTCTGGAGGGGTGCGGGGGCAATAGAGAATGTCTAGGGGACTCCTGGGCGGCTCAGTCACTTAAGCCGCTGACTCTTGGTTTTGGATCAGGTCATGATCTCAAAGTTTGTGAGTTTAAGCCCCTTGTCTGCCCTGACAGTGCGGATCCTGCTTGGGTCAGGATCCTCCCAATCCCTCTCTCTCTCAGCCCTTCCCCTGCTTACATACCCACACTCTTGCAAAATAAATACATAAACTTTAAAAAAGGGAAAGAAAAGGGAATAACTAAGACCAAAGGCAGAAGTGGAAAGCCAACTCTGAAAGGAGATGGTTTAGATGGAGGAGCCATCATATGGACTATATATGCCCACGAAGGGACAAGGTCCTGGGGCCGGCAGTTTGGATCCAGCACAGAGGGCTTTTTCCAACACAGAGATTGGTTAGAGTAAAATAGGAAGCAAATCAGAAGGTGGCACACATGAGTGACCTCTTCAGTCATATCACTGATGATTTCTTCTCGTTGTTTTTCTTCTGTTTCTTTCCCAACTACAACTATCTTTTTGGTAGGTTAGTTAATTAATTAATTAATTTAAAAGAGCACGTGCGAGCAGGGGAGAGAGGCAGAGGGAGAGAGAGACTCTCAAGCAGGCTATATGCTCAGCACAGAGCCCGAAGCCGGGGTTGATCCCATGAGCAGGGAAGTCATGACCTGAGCTGAAAGTCTGGTGTCCAATTGACTGATCAACCCAGGAGCGCCTCTTTTTTAATTATTATTATTCTTGTGCCGCCTTCTTTATTACTGTTTTTCCTTATTTTATTTGCATGTTCAGGTCTTTAGAAGACTAATCGTTAGCATTGTTGAGTATGGATAGAATCATAGAATTTTATGGCTAAAGAGGACTGGAGAGTGACCGAGTCCTACACAATATATATGGC